TACAGACCGCCGTCATATGGCTGGAATACTGCTGAGTGCGGCGTTAAACAAGAAACTATTTTTAAATAGACCTACCCTATGCAAATGAATCAACTGTATTGCCCAATACTCAAAATAAATAGTATTTTTTTCAACAACAGCGTTGTGTTATTTGTGGTAAATATAGTTATGCTCCTTCATGCCTTTCAGTAACATCATAATTATGCGTTTTGTGAGGCATCACATATGGCGGGGAACTTTGATGCTCTGCATCAATGTTTTCTTGTACATTCGTAACGAAAGGTTAATTCGTTGGTGTTACAGTTCAAAACAAGACGATTACATATATTTTATGAGCGCTTGTTACATTAAAATGACACTGATATACAGGCTGCTTCGGTCAGATGTTAGCGTTACAAGCATTGCTTATCCGAAATGTGATTCTTCATGTATCTTAATACATTTCTTATATATATTACCCTAAATTTAGCTGTTTCAGAGTTGGGTGTGTGACATTTTTCGGATTTTCTAGAAACCTATACTCTCTTAGAATTATTTGACGTGATAAGTGTGTTCATGTAGGTGGTTGAAAAAAATATGAAAATCAATATAGAGAAATTATTTCTTGCCTTTATCTATAATATGTGTGTATGTGTGTGTGTGTGCGTGCGTGCGTGCATGTGCATGTGTGTACGTGTATGTATGAACAGCCAAAGACAAATTGCGATTGGTTTTTTAAGTCTTGAGCCGACAGTCCTATTCAACGTGGGGGGTAGGTGCCCAGTCAAGAACAAGTTCAAGTTCTTTATTTCTCCAAAACCACTCACAGTGGTATACTGTACAATTCAGTAATTATATCTATACCACTCAACATTTGTCAGGGGCCATATATTTGACTATATATGGCTATTTTGGTTCTTAGAAAGTGTTGAGTAGTATATTTATGTGAGGCAGTATCACAATACCTTTGCGAACTCTTGAAGTCAACAAATAAACAACACATTTTTTTTTCTAACTGTCAAACCCCGAAGGACAAAAATATGATCTGTCGTTGCGCAGCCCTTTTAGGGAAGCCCGTCGTTAACTGTGCCACTGTTCGCTGTGCAGTTCTGATCTATTGTCGGGACTCGCTTATTCTGGATCCAGATTTGTCCCGAGTCCCGAGTCCCGAGTCCCGTAGCCGCACTGCTAATCCTATCATTAATAAACCTATGAAATATTGAACGTTTTCGGTTTAGACTGTGGAAAGGTTAAGTCAACCACAGCAACAGAACAATCTCATTAAAATCAGATCTTAGTTCTCGCTATGCTAAACAAAGATCTTAGGACATCCCATTAAGGGTCACGTCAGAACGACCTTTCATCCAACCAATCAGAGCGTCGCTTACCAGATCATGAAAGTGGCAGTTGGAATGTGTTTTCTAATCATACAACCACGAAATATTTAACACGGGCTATTCCGAACGACAGTTACGGGTTTTATGATTATATCCACACAATCTAGGCCACCCAAAAGCCATTCCAAAATGTTCTTCTTATCTGTTTTATTTTTTTTAATCGAGAATACGTCAAATTGTTTCGAAGCGTAGTCGGCAGTTTTAAACTAGTGTCGTAAAGCTCGAGAAAGCTGACTTCTGATTGGCTAATGTCGACCTCTTGTCAGTCATTTCATTGGTCGGTCAAAATTCGCGAACGGTCCTTCTGACGTGACCTGTAATGGGATGTCCTCAGATCTTTGTTTCGCGGTAGCGAAAACTAAGATCTAATTTTAATGAGATTGTGCAACAGAAAATTGTGTAAGAGATCGATGTAATGACGGTTTGAATATTTTTTTCACAGCGTGTTTTCTGAAGTGATGCAGATCGTTTTCACTTACCCGGAACACGGACATGGTGCTCACAGATCCGGGGTCATAACCGCGTTCCATCAGAGGATCCTGGCACGGACAACTCCGCACAGCGAACGGCCATGTCTCAGACAACCGAGCCATCTCCAGCACATGCAAATGCACATCTGAGGGCGATTTATAAAAAACGAACAAGATAAATTTAACTTTGAACCAAATCGCGACAGTGACCATAATTTATTCACTATCCATTCGTCATTCATTGTCGATTATTCACAAAATAATATGTTTTCTGTCACCAAGATCTGTCGCATCCAAGACCATTGCCATGGTATAACGACGTGCATGCGTGACTGCTTGTACTAGTCCGGACTGATGTCGATTTATAGTGCTAGCCCACTGAGATACCATGCCGCAGTTTAACATGAATACCCCTCTCAGACACAGTATATACTGACTCCGAGCAGACCAGTCCTTGATTTAGTTGAGTGCTAGACAGGATAACAAGAAGTCTATCTTTTAACATCTTTTGGCATGACGCGAACGCTCTACCACTAGACCACACAACGATAGGTCATGGCTTGGAACGTGTGATGCGTTGTTGAGGAAGGGTTCATCTTGCATACCTCTTCCGCTTGCTGTTGTGAGTCACACCACCTTAGGGCAATGTTGGATCACCCGCTTTCTGTTGTCTGCCATCTTCCCGAGACAAGGGAGTTTACTGACTGTAAAAGTCCAGTTTTCACCCTTGCCGAAATAGGCTGGAATTTCTGGGCTTGATCGTAGCGCCACCAGTGGTTATTACGAGGTGTGTCCCTCCTATGCCTCTCCTATTGACCAATCAGATTCCGCCCCTTGGATCCCTTGCATTTGCTTCTAACAAAATGGCGGTGCCCAGCCATGACGATCTGATCAATTATCAAGATCTATATTGTGATAAAACGGGTCTTACATCGCAAAGGGCATCAAATGACGTGAGCACCTTGATTAAAAACATGAAAAGATTTGGAAAATATCTGCTGACGCCCAGTTGACGGTACACATGCTTTGCAAATCCTGCAATCGACCGAAATCTGCACGACAGTTTACGAACAGGATTTCGATTTCATTACGCGATTTTGATTGGACTATGCATAGACTCGTTAGTACAGCCAAAATTTAACTGCATAATACCAGCCTAGTTCGGCAAGGGTGGAAACTGGACTTTTAAAGTCAGTGAACTCACTTGCCTCGGGAAGATGATTGTCTGCATGTCGTGTTGCACAATCGCGTCTGGCGATGGTCCAATCCCTGTCAAAAATAGGCTGTTTCTGAAAACCGATACCACTATTGTTCGTTGCAGATTGTACAAAGTGGAAAGATTGGAAATAGAGAATTAACAGTGCTGGAAATGTGCTTATCCTACATATGAGTGAGTTAGTTAGGCGTAACGCCGGTTTAAACAGTATTCCAGTACAATACGGCGTGTCAGCTTAATGTGGGAGGAAGGCCCGAAGTCACTTTGGTGAAAACTACGAGCATGGGAATAGTGCTGACAAACCTAGAAACATAGTCGGGGAGAACCAGGACTCGAACCCACAATCACAGGCTTCTGGCGTTCCCAAGGGAGACAACTCTGCACAGCGAATTGCGGCGCCTTAGACGACTTGGGAAACTGTTCCTCGCAGATTTTGTGAAGATTTTATGTCCTGGAGCAACTTATTCCATTGGATGGCTGCTGCATATATAAAAGGATATCTTTCGAGAATTGGAGGCTTCTATGTGTAGAACAGATACAACATCTTTCCCTAAGACTGTACCAAGAAGAACATAATTAATTTACTACGATGTCACGTGAAGTGGATAGGCAACAGTCGGCCTCGTGGTCCTATGAGACATCACTTTTCATGAAAATAGTAGTAAAATCGACCCGTGAAGATCCGGGGTAGAATAAGTCTTCAGGAACCCACGCTGGCTCTAAAAAGCGACTCTGCTTGTCGTAAGAGGCGGCTAACGGGATCGAGTGGTCAGGCTCGCTGACTTGGTTGATGCATGTCATTGTCTGGTCTAGACTTGATTATTTACAGACCGCCGCCATATAGCTGGAATATTGCTTAGTACCGCGTCAAACAACAAACAAACAAACAATGCACCACACGGGCGGCATCAAGTTATCTTATTTCTATTCTAGTCTTAAAACAATATTTATATAACCTAAAATCAGTCAAGCAGGATCACCGAGTCATATTTCCTACAATTCACACCATATAAAATACTTACCCCCACGCACTAATATATTATATAGCACCGCTAATACATATACACAGTCCCCACACCCACACCCACGCCACACACACGCACACGCACGCACACGCACACGCACATGCACACACACACACACACACACACACACACAAATGTATCTGGCAATTTCCCATGTATATGGTGTGCATAAACACGACCAATTATATATCTTGCTCGTGATGTGTACACTCCATTACCATTTGGTATTCCTTTACACTGAATGATAATAACACCAATTAAAGTTTCACTGGTGGATAGCTTTCTTCAAAATCTGAACACAAGTAACATTGACACAACACTTAAAAGAAGAACACTGGATTGTTACCCATTACAGGTCGCTGATCACTGTAGATTCAGTTGGAAAGTGACAATAAACCATTAGAACCATGGGTGTACCAAATATATAATTACACGTCACTAATGGGATGACTTTCACATCACCTACCTCTTAACATCAGCGCACTTATATATTGTGTGAATATGGATTAGAAGACAGTTATGCTGACATCCATTTGGTTGTTCGTTTGTTCAAGTGATCTGACGTGCCTTATTAAGAATGGTCAATATAGACATAAATCCTCTCATTACCTTATGATAAAAACCTAGGGCTGCATCAAATGATGCTCTTGTTTACCAGGCAATGTCATTGTAACAATGGCATTTCGTTGACGTCAAAAATTTGCTAATTGCCGATCTGCCAATAGAGTACTGATTTACTCATTAGTTTAATATCACTTCATCTTATCTTTGAAATTGAAGGTATAAATATCACGTGTCCATGCATTCGGTTGTCTTTAATAAAAATTACCAAACACAACACAGCATGTTAAAGAAGACATTTGTTGTGATGTTTCCAGTGGTTTTGTTGTTATCAGCCTGTGTTGACAACGTAATGGCTGACACCCAAGAAAGCCAAAAACAGCTGAACTCGTATCTTGAAACCCGCTTCAATCCCGACGTTCCTCCCATCGACCCACATACCAATGCCATTGATGTACAAATTGCCATTGGGCCAGTGCAGGTTCAGGATCTGGTTGATGCTACCCAAGTACTTAAATGCAGAGTGTTTGTGGTGATGAGTTGGAAGGACACATCACTTGCCTGGAATGCGTCGGACTACCCCAACGTTGTTCAGACAGAAATCGCTCCACATAAAGCTTGGTCTCCTAATGTGATGTTGTTAAATGCAGCGTTTGGTGATGGTCCTTTATCGACAACGATGCCCATCACATTAGTCATGGATGGTTCTCTGTATTGGCAGAACATAATCATGGTGTATACAATCTGTAAGACTGATCTGTCCAGATATCCCTTCGATAACCAGACGTGTGACATAACATTCTCATCAGCAATAGGATATCCTGTCATTCTCAATCCATCGGTAATTTCACAAACTCGGGGCCTGAAGATAAACGCTAACGGAGAGTGGGAAACTAACAATATAACACAGTCGATTCATTCACGTGAAAACGGGACATCATACCAAGCCGCGATCTTTCACATCCATCTGTCCAGAAAGTATCTTTTCCACATTTTGAATCTCATCTTCCCGATGTGCCTTCTCTCCTTTCTCAACAGCTTCGTGTTCCTGCTTCCAGCAAGCTCCGGAGAAAAGATGGGCTACCTCATGGCTGTCTTTGTCTCGAACGCTCTCTTCCTGAGCCTCATCCACGACACTATGCCATCAACCTCTGATTCTGTTTCTAACCTCTCTATCTACCAGGTGGCTATCCACATGCAAGGCTTTCTCGCCATCGCTGCCACCATCTTGGTTCAGAACATCTACCACCGACAGCAGAAAACTATGGAGGAAGGTGCGCATGTAAGATCAAACCACACAAAAGCCATACCTCTTGGCTCCACTGACAATATGGGATCTAGTACCCCAACGCTTCTCAAAGATGGATGCAGTCAACCTTCAAATGGACAGAACAGGATCAGGAAGCCTAATGTACCACTGGACATACTTCTGGATGGTATTTTCTTTATTTGTTCTATTATTTTTTCCATTATTAGCTTATTGTGTCTTCTCCTGGCTTAGAAGCTGTACTGATAGAGCAACATGACCCATTTCAAGGTTTGCAAGTCTGACATTTGATAAAGGACATATTTGCTTTCTAGGAACTTCGGGTCTTATGGGACCATATAATACTATATATTGTTTCTTATAAAAAACTGTCCAAAATATCATTTAACAAAGAAGGATTGGTCAGACCACAAAGCATTCTGCAGCCTTAACAGAGAAACTATGCCCCTTGTCTGGTGCCCACTTCCAGTCTAGATCTAGACGTTGTAATTAGTGCCACGTGTGATATTTAAGCATTTTCTCAATATAGTTGAGATAGAATTTAACAGATAGATTTATCTACGTGTATAATTATGAAAATACAGACACTAGACAAACAAAGTGGTGTTTAACATTTTGAATCAATCGCGCTGGGACTGCCAAAATTGGCCCGAGTCTAGTTCCCCTTTTATGCAAATTACATTTACAGATGTTGTCCGTGTGGTCTGCTCTGCAAACTTTCTCGCTTTGCTTTACATTACCATCACCAAACCGAAGCAAAGGAGTTAATTGCCTGTAAAAGTCCAATTTCTAGGCTAGAACATATACTTTGGCTGGCCTAACGAGTCTATGTCCAGTCAAATAAAGAATCGGAAACATAATGCCGAGCAGATTTCGGTCGATTGCAGGATAGAGCATATGTGTCGTCAACTGGGCGTTGACATATATTTTCCAAATCCTTTCATGTTTTTAATCAACGTGCTCAAGTGATTGGATGCGCTTCATTATAGTTTGGTTTTGATAATTGATCAGATCGTTTTGACTATGTGCCGCCATTTTGTTTGAAGCAATTACAATAAAATGAGAGGTAGAATCTGATTGATCAATCGGAACGACAAAGAAGGGAGATACTCGTAGTAGTCCCTGGTTCGGCGGGAGTTGAAACTTGACTTTTATCCCTTGCCTTAGAAGATGCTTTACCGATTGACAGTGATTCATAAACACATGTTTTGAGGTCGGAATTTTGCAATGGTCTGTGCTTTTAGCAAAGATGTTTTATGTTTTAAAGAAATGCGTTTGTCGCTTTTATTTACGTTATTGTGCGTGTTGTACGTGCCCCTCATCGTTATATTGCTCGAATATTGTGAAAAGCAGCGTAAAACCATACTCACTCACTCACTCTTGATGACGAAAGTTGACAGGGAAAGAGAAGAACAATGGTCTACCCAGTTTGGAAAGCTGTTTCTAAAAAGTGACAGATCTAGTCACAACATGCACGCAACGCTTCTGTAGTTTAATAATACATCATTACCTTATGTTCAACCAGTGTTATCGACAGACATAGTTCACACATTTTGAGCTCATGAGGTTTTTTTTAGCATAATGGTAAATGACGTTTTGGTAAGGTAGCTCAAGATATCGGTAGTGGTGGAACATTCCTGACCAATGTTCACACTTGTATTCATGTTTCATTTATTATGCTGGGATGTCGGCTTTCGCTTCACAATCCTACATTACAAACGTAACTAATATACAAATAATTAGGGCATTTTACAGGTTAAAGATTAATTTACTTAATTTAGAATCACTATGCTCCTTAGCGAGATAGTGTGGAGAGCTAATATGCATTATGTTCGCATTGTAAATACCTGAACATTATGGATGAACTATGAAAGGATATCTATCAATTGTTGATTGTTGATGTCATTCAAATATAATTTATTAATGTGAAGATATACGGCTTTCCCATTGGACGAGAAGCTCCGACGTTCATACAGTTTAGCCCTCACTCTATGAAGGTTTATACTCCAATGAACTCACACAAAGTGAAAGTCAAACTAATTGTGACGTAAGGGCGAAATGACAAAACGTCTCACACTCGTTTCTTAAAATCAGTATGACACACATGCTTGTATAATAATATCTACGTACGAAGCTCGTGGTGAGTATATATATATATATGTATATGACAAACGTGTTATATGTAACTAATGTATACTGAACCGCAAAAGAAACGTCACTATGGATAGATATATGAGAAACCGTATTTGTCCAAACACTGTAAACATACTTTAGGACATGAAACTTGGCAAAACTGATCATCAAGGTTGAAATAAAAGTGTCAAAAGTTCTTAAAGAGAAACACAACTCTAGTCTCTGAGAAAATGGCATCACAAGTCAGTATCTCGTCTGTCCGCCATGTGCATTGATGACTGCCGTGCAACGTCGATACATGGAATGGATGAGGCGATTGATAAAGGCCATAGGCACTTGAGCCCACACTCTGAGAAACGCCTGACGCAGTTCAGCTGCAGTTGTCGGCCTTGGTCTTTGAATCTCGTCCCACAGGTGCTCAATGGGATTTAAATCGGGACTAAGGTCAGACCACTGCATGGTTCTGATGCCATTCTGCTGGAGGAAGTCTCTTGCTGTATCATACTGTATCATGTGGTTCCGGCGACGTGCCAAATGAGATATGGCGTGTGGTCTCAAGACTTGATCAATGTACCGAGCTGCTGTGACAACATTGCCTCTCCCTTGACCGATGTCCTGGAAGACCACAGGGCCGACCCTCTGTGCAAGACCAATTCCACCCCACCATGATGCTCGGACCACCCCACGAGTCTCTCTCAACAACACAAGCATCCGAATAATGTTCAGCACGGCATCGCCAGACTCTCACTGCCATCTGCTGTTGATATACAGTAACGGCTCTCGTCTGAGAAGAGGACTCTTCTCCACTGCTGGTGGCGCCAATGCTGGTGCTGTGTTGCCCACTGAAGACGGTCCCGGCGATGACGTGGTGTCAGAATGGGTCCTCGGTGTGGCCTGTGACAGTTGAGGTGTCTGTTCGTCAATCGTCGACGCACGGTGTCTGCACTAATGTGTCGCTGATGAGTCTCCATGGTCTGTCGAGCAGTTTCCCCAGCAGTAACAAAGCGATCTTGAAGATGCTGTCGCATAATCTGACGATCCTGACGATCCTGACGTCGGGTGGTGACCCTTGGTCTTCCACTACGTGGTCGGTCATCTGTAGTGTTGGTGGTCTGGTACCGTTGTTGGGGCCTGTATATGGTCCTTACGTGGACTTGAAATGCATTGGCTGCTTGCCGGGCGGTTTGTCCAGCTTAAAATCGTCCAAGGGCTTGGTGTCGCTGATTTCTTGTCAATCTTGGCATGTGGTAGCAATTCAATAACGAATGAATGTTATCCGATCTGGGTGGATTTTTATAGGGCAAGAAATGGGGGAACGCATGTGCATTTCAATTTGCTCTGAAGTCACGTGCATCGGGTTACCATGGCCGTTGCCCTGATGCGTTTGGGCGATCTGTTTTATTGTCATCTGCTTTGGGGGTTTTTAAATCAAATTTCATTATTACGGTCAAGATAATGTTAAATTTTAGAAACTTTGACAAAAATTTCCCAAATATTTAAATGACAACTTTTCATGCAATGTTACTTTGGTGACGTTTCTTTTGCGGTTCAGTATAAATATATTATTATTACTTACATGTTATCTGGCGCTAATGGGTAAATGTAGCTTAAGGGTACAATTGTGTATGATTGCAGTGCTAAAGAGTATTGAACTGTTCCACAAAATTGAAATCTGAAATCTTATGAAGCAATATGCAAGACATGAACAACATGCGACATGTGAATAATGTGCTTACTTTCGCAGGCTATATAAACTAAGTAGGCCGTTTAACACCCGTTACAAAATGAAATTAATATGCTTATGTCTACAAACGGGAAAAAAGTAACTGTGCTTCACATAAAGTTCAACAATACAGTTATTCTGAAATTAAATTATGCATCTCCTCGACTTCAAAGGTCGTGATTCACAATTTGCACCAGAGTGATTGTTGGGAGCATGATGTTGTTTTTATATGAATAGCACACAATGATTTCTTGGCTATCAGGTTCTGATACATATATTTTTGTTATATCGTAAATAACGTTTACACAGTACTTATACGCGCATTAAAATCAACGTATACGCGTCGTGGGTATGCTGTAAACAGGAATTGCACGAACGAAGTTGCCAGACATCTCAAAGTTCACCAAAACACAATATTATATCTCATGGCTTGCCATGTGTGACCCCTCGCCCGTTGATGTCTGGGGTGATGGAACGACGCCTACTACAGGACCAGAACCAGCCAGTAACGCTAGCTCGGTCAGGCCAATATTTGGTTGACATTCGTTTCAACATCCACTGGATTATTTTCAATCATCTGGCGTCTTCAATGCTGCACCGCTGCCTTGCCTGTATCAACGCTGTTGGTGGTCACACCCGATATAGACGTTGTTAATTGAGTTGTTACATCCCCGTCCTTTAGGGCTTGTCATTCTGTCTCCTGTTACCTGGTATGGATTTAGTTAATGAATTTGTTATGATAAAACATTGACCAGACGAATGACCAAAAAGTTGTTGTTATTTTCAAAAACATAACATTTACATGTAATTTGTTTCTGTAATCCATGTATAACTTGCATTACGCCAACATCGAAAGTAATTATGAAAGTTCCCTATGCAGTTATACATTCACTCTATTTTAACTCTTTGTATGGCGGGGGCACGGGTGGCCCAGTCGTTTCAGGCGCCGCGATTCTCTGTGCATAGTTGCGTCCCTTGGGCACGCCAGAAACCTATGATTGTGTGTTCGAATCCCGGTTCGCCCCGATTGTGTTTATAGGTTTGTTAGCACCATACCCGTGCTCGTGGGTTTCACCGAGGTGGTAAACGTCTGATACCTGCATCACTTCGGGCTTTCCTCCCACATTAAGCTGACACGCCGTGATATAACTGTAATTCTGTTAAAAGCGGCGTTAAACCCAACTCACTCACTCACTCTTTGTATGGCCTGTGGTACATTTATTGACGTGGTTTAGAATCAGGAAAGCCATTCCTGTGCAAAAAGATTCAAAGTACCTTTCAGTCATTCCCACAGGGACTCTAGAAAAACAGTTGTTAAAGCATCTTCTATTCATTATCTATTTTATAGTGTTACACTAGATTACTCGTAACTGTTCAGCATTACCCCTTTGACCATACTGTGTAGATTCCATTACCGGCTGTATTAATAACTGTAGCTTCTTAACCGTTGTTGGTTCTGTGGAATCGATGTACAGCGTTAATTCGTTCACCTCCCCATACCTTTGATGTTGTAATGGTTTTACTGGTTGCATTAGACGGGGCGATTGTCGATGGGGCAATAACAATCTGACAATGACATTTCCTTCATTGAAAATGGAGATACGAATTTAATGTGCGTGGTAATGCTTTCAATGACTATTCTACAATAAACATCACTTAATTTCATAAGTACACAAAATGAGTAAGAATAAATATCGCGTGCCTATGAACCTCCGGCTATTTGTGCACTGGCAGAGCGATGTTGAGGGGGATGAAGCTGCTGGAGATGTGTGTTGTGCTTGTGTGGTTGTCATCAATCTGTGTTCATGTTGTGGCTGACACCCGAGAGAGTATAAAACAGCTGAACTCGTATCTTGAAACCCGCTTCAATCCCGACGTTCCTCCCATCGACCCACAGACCAATGCCATTGAAGTAGATATTATGATTGGGCCAGTGCAGGTTCAGGATCTGGTTGATGCTACCCAAGTACTTAAATGCAGAGTGTTTGTGGTGATGAGATGGACGGACACATCACTTGCCTGGAATGCGTCGGACTACCCCAACGTTGATCAGATAGAAATCGCTCCATATAAAGTTTGGTCTCCAAACGTAGCTTTGGTCAATTCTGCCTCTGGTGATGGTACTTTATCGACACTGATGCCCTTGATGCTGTTAATGAACGGATCTCTGTTTTGGCAGAACATAATGACTGTCTCTACAATATGCAAAACCGATCTATCTAAATATCCATTTGATAACCAGACATGTGACCTTACATTTACATCGACCTTCGGATATTCCATTATCCTACATCCATATGTGGATTCAAACACATATGGTTTAAAGATAAATGCTAACGGAGAGTGGGAAACTATCAATATAACACGGTCGGTCTCTCCACAGGATGATCACCAACTACACCAACCTGCAACGTTTTTTATCCATCTGTCCAGAAAGCCTCTTTTCCATATTTTGAACTTCATTTGTCCGACGTGCCTAGTCTCTTTCCTCAACAGCATCGTGTTCCTGCTGCCAGCAGGCTCTGGAGAAAAGGTGGGCTACGTCATGGCCGTCTTTGTGTCGAACGCTCTCTTCCTAAGTCTCATCCACGACATCATGCCATCAACCTCTGATACTATTTCTTACCTGTCCCTCTACCTCCTTGGGATTCAACTCCAAGGCTTTCTCGGAATTGTTGGCACAGTCGTGGTACAGAACGTATACTGTCACCAGCAGAACGCCAAGGAGAATGGAGCACACGTAGAACCAAATCGAACACCTGCAAGATTGAAGCCGACACAAGTTGTGCCTCTTGACTCGCCTGACACGGTGGAGGATCTCAAAGATCAGACCAGACATCAGTATTCAAGAACGAGGGCATGCATGAGACTCCGTAATCTCCCACTGGACAGGGCTTTGGATGGTATTTTCTTCATATGCTCCTTTGGCTTTGCTTTGATCATCTTTCTCTTGCTAGTTGTATAAATGGTACAACCATATAGTTTAGTCTTTTAGTGCGTGGCTTTCTAAAGAAATATATAATCTCAGTTTCAGTTTCGTTTGACGTAGGATTGCCGCACTCAGCAATATTCCAGCCATATGACGGCGGTCTGTAAATAATCGAGTCTGGGCCAGAAAACCCAGTGATTGACATCATGAGCATCGATCCACGCAATTGGGATACGATGACATGCAAGTCAGCGAGCCTGACCACCCGATCCCGTTAGTCGCCTCTTACGACAAGCAGAGTCGCTTTTTACAGCAAAAGTTGCTGAAGACCTATTCACGGATGATTTGACGGAGGAAAAATACTGGGATGTTTTCTACTTTATCAAACATTGATTATTTATATGATATCAAAAGGCTCGAGGATGAGAGTATATTTATTATCCGATTACCCGGAATCAATTATCACAAACATATTTGATTAAGTTGGTGAGAACATGAAATTGTGTTGATCGTTAGGACGCACGGAAGAGCAAAAAAACATTCACATGTAGCACTTATTTTATTCGACTAACTTTTGCGGCCTTACCGTTTAGTGCGAAACCAATATGAAATCACTGTCATTATATTTACATACGGCTATTAATCCTAAACATAAAGTTAACCAAGTTCTCTGAAGAAGATTAGGGTAAGAATTACATCTGTTGAGAAAGACCGTGGGCATCGGGCTGCAAATGTAAGACAGATATTATCTAAATGTGGTTATGGATGAATAAACTTACTCAGTTCTATTAACTCTTGCACACAAAGTTAAAGGATATGTTCGCAAAACTAATGTCAATTTTATTCTTCATCTCATAGATTTCTGTGTACTGTGTTCTATGTGTCATCGTACCCGACAACGAGTAACGGGATCGGGTGGTCAGCACATGTTTGATAATAACGTTAAAACATTTAGACATTTAGATGTTCTTCATAAGAGCTTGGAACTGAAGTTGGACCGTCCACTGATATGACAAGGAATACGGGAATATGTACACAGCGCAACCTTCATAGAGTGGAAGATATGTATCCTGGCATGTCCATTCTTAGTCTTGCACCATGACTATAAAAACATATCTAGAAACGCATACAAAAGCAAGTCTAGACAGCTCCAGCTAGCTCTATTCCACATGAAATCAGCTTAGGGAATTTTTTAATTCAAGAAGGATATTGTGTAATATAAGATTTCATGGACTAAATGTTAGTCTAGTCCATACTATACTCCCTTAGAAATAAGATATACCATTTTAGTATATCCATATACTAGTATATATATATATGGCTTTGTTAAAAAGTTCTAATAATTGTGTTTGGGTGTGTTGGTGTGTGGGTGTGTGGGTTGAGTAAGTGAGTGACTGACTGAGTTTAATGCCACTTTGAACAGTATTTCAGTGATGTCATGACGTGTCACTGATTTTGAATTGTTGTCTATTTCTTTTTGTTCATGGTTAAATAAGCATTCTGTAAATGTAGTTTTGTGGACATATTTATCCATGAGTTTTGGCTTCAGTATGTTTTAGCGTCTATTGAGTTACAAGCGTACACGTCAGTGTGCGCAATGCCGCTTCCACTCTACATTCTACAACTATCCCTCCATAAACAGAACTGAAGTATAAAGTTTTAGGAATTCGCATATAAATGATGGCTATGGATTACTTTACCACCTGCTGAAGATGACACTGAGATCTGTTTAACTGCCAAGTGTTTCTTTAAATTGAGTTCATGTTTAAAGATCGCCCATGAATTGTGTTAGAAGCTTTTATTGTCTTCACAAAACTTTAAATAGCCACTTCCTATGCCAATTTACCGGGCGATGCTAGTGGATTTCTCATTTGATTTGTGAATTGTGTTGCAAAACATGTATATATTTATGTGGGTTATAGTCTAGAAACACGATTCTGATGGATTTCTCATTCGATTTGTGAATTGCGTTGCAAAACATGTATATATTTATGTGGTTTAAAGTCTAGAAACACGATTCTGATGGATTTCTCATTCGATTTGTGAATTGCGTTGCAAAACATGTATATATTTATGTGGGTTATAGTCTAGAAACCAGATTCTGGGGGAATTCCCATTCGAATTGTGAATTGTGTTGCAAAAAGGTATTGATGTAAATGTATGGGTTTATATGTCCAGAAACAGGATAACACCTATATGTATTAAACTGTTAGTGCGAGTTTCATTCAATGTCATTTAATATATATCACAACCAAAGAGTTAGTAAGTGGGTTCGCATTGACTAGTATATCATTAGATTCGTGTCAGCTTGTGGGTGGAAAGACTGAAGGGATGCAGGTCTTAGACGTTTACCGCTTTGTGAAATCTACGAGCACAGCTATAGTGCTGACAAACCTAGAAACATAATCAAGCAGACCTGGGATTAATACCATGGATAATATATATATGGCACGCCCAAGGGACACGCGTCTCTGCACAGTTGGTTGGTTGGCTGGTTTGTTGTTTAACGCGACACTCAGCAATATCCCATCTACATGACGGCGGTCTGTAAATAATCGAGTCTGGACCAGACAATCCAGTAATTAATATCATGAGCATCGATCAACGCAATTGGGATGAATGACATGCATCAAACCTCGTCATTGAACCTATGAACAAACCTATGATTGTGGGTTCGAATCCCGGTTCGCCCCGATTATGTATCTAGGTTTGTCAGCACCATACCCGTGCTCGTGGGTTTCACCGAAGTGGTCAACGTCTGAGACCGCTTTCTTCCCACATTAAGCTGACACGCCGTGATATAACTGGAATACTGTTAAAAGCGGCGTTAAACCCAACTCACCCACTCACTCACACAATTGGCTACCATACACACATCAATATGTTGTGGCTTGGTCATTAGTGAAAGGGGGCACGGGTGGCCCAGTCGTCTAAGGCGCCGCGGTTTGCTGTGCAGAGTTGCGTCCCTTGGGCACGCCAGAAACCTATGATTGTGGGTTCGAATCCCGGTTCGCCCCGATTATGTTTCTAGGTTTGTCAGCACCATACCCGTGCTCGTGGGTTTCACCGAAGTGGTAAACGTCCGAGACCTGCATCACTTTGGGCTTTCCTCCCACATTAAGCTGACACGCCGCGATATAACTGGAATACTGTTAAAAGCGGCGTTAAACCCAACTCACTCACTGATTAGTGAAAGGTGCATCTCCCAAGGGAGATGATCATCCATCTGTGACGCCACCATAAACATTATTTTATTTTATGTCTTTATTTCGTTCATCGTAATCCCCGCGTGTATTCCGGGACAGAATGGATCCCATCACAAACTGCTTCTCCCGTGAGCCGACAATTATAGGGATAATGTGATTACAGAGTACGACCAGTTTGATTGTGCGGTCGAGTCCGGATCGTTGTTATCTACTATATTGCCTATCCCTGATCTGAATAATCGGGTAGCCTAGTGGTTAAAGCGTTCGCTCGTCACGTTGAAGACCCGGGTTCGATTCCCGACATGGGAACAATGTGTGAAGCCCATTTCTGGTGTCCCCTGCCGTGATATTGCTGGAATATTGCTAAAAGCGGCGTAAAATCAATCTCACTCACTCACTCTGAATTATTAGAGGCCGCTCAGATATAATATAGTTGACTGCATCGCAAAACAGTCACCCTTTCAAGTTAACATTTGAGTCATTAAGCGCTTCTCATACCTGTTATCCCAAATCAGTTCCGTATAGATTCCATTACCTGTAATTTGCCTTTCAAAATTGGATGTATCCTTAATTATGCTGTTAGTGAAATTCAACAAATGCAACATAACCGATGTCCTGATAGTGACAAAAATCATTTCTGGTAATGCCTTAAGTTAGTCTGACAGTACATGTTATCAGTTTGGGTAGTAGATACTATACTCACACACAAAATAAACGCAAGTGGTTTTAAGCAAATAGGTAACAAACACGGAACCATAAATTGAAACGAGTTTTAGCATGTAGTGAAGCCTGATGGTGTTATCAATATTTTTGGTTGCATTTTGGAAGCCCCGAGTAAAAACGCAACATAAAAAACACATCGCCAAAATGCACCATTTCAATGAATATATGGGTATCATGCACCCATTTCTCGCGAAATCAAAAATGCACGAACTGTCACGAACTGTAGTGGGTATAAAAGTGTGGCCGATTCTTGGACCTACCACTCCTTGGTTAACAATGCCACGCCTAACTCAAATTCAGAGAAACCAGGCTATCGGACGTTTGGAAGCTGGAGAGTCTGTCCAAGATGTTGCCCGTCATTTCAACGTTAACATAACCACAATTTACCGTCTCCTGCATCGATACAATGCTACACAGACCACAGATGACCTTCCTCGGAGCGGTCATCCTAGGGTCACCACACCTCGACAAGATCGGCAGACACTGCGATCCGACGTCTCCGTTCCAACAACCTCAGATGTCGCCGACCAGCACGTCGTCCTGTTCTCCAACCACGGCATCGACAAGCACGACTTCAGTAGGCACAGGGTCATCGCAATTGGCGTCATCGTAAGTGGAGGCGTGTCATCTTCTCTGATGAAAATCGCTTTTGTGTCTCCCATGCAGACGGAAGAGTCAGAATTTGGCGACGTCGAGGTGATCGTTTCGCTGACAGAAACGTTGTTGAAAGGGATCCATGAGGTGGACCTAGCGTCATGATATGGGCATGGATTGGACTTAATGCGAGACTTGGAACCCTGTGCTTTCTGAATGTTGGTCAAGGTCGGGGACACAGCGTCACTGCTCAGCGGTATATCGACAAAGTGATCAGACCCATTTTCAAGCAGGACAATGTTCGTCCCCATGTTGCCAGAGCTACCATGGCCTTTCTGCAACAACACAACATCCGTGTTCTACCGTGGCCAGCCCTGAGGCCTGATCTGGGATGAGGTTCAAAGGCGTCTGCACAATGTGCGCCCAGTCCCTACAACTGCCCATGAACTACGCACAGCTGCTCTGGATGTGTGCAGGAGGATCCCTAGGGCCTTCACAAATCGTCTGATCCAC